CTGATAATCTTGACTCCAATCCATTAATAACGTCGAAACAAAAATAATGTTGAATTAGTTGGCGCTTTATCGTTGTTTTCTGTCAGTATTTTATTCAAATTTTCTGTTGATTTTCTTTTCTTGACGTTCACTTCAGTATTAGATGTTTAGCACTTTTTATGTGTCTATCAATTGTTTGATTTGCGGTTAAGTGAGTGATATTTTCAAAATCGTCACATTTTAATTTTCGAATTATCGAAAAATTTATGTTTTCATCCACATATTTATTAATAATTGCCATCAATTTATTATCAATTGATTTATCCATATTTTTTAATTAAATGTTACCAAAAGTTTTGTTGTTGTGACCAAACGTGTTGTTGTTGTTATCCGAAAGTATTTTTATAACAGTCACTGTAGTCAATAATTTTAACACTAAATTTTTTAAATAATAACTTAAAATCTATATATAAACACATAATTAAATTAATATAAATAACTATAATAACAATTTATTTATATCAAAAATGTGCTTTTATGTGATTAATTTTTAGAAATATTTAGAAATCTGAGGCCCCAAGTTATAAGTGAAACACTTTTATTGTAATTTAATGTGAATTAAAACAATGGTTAAAATATCGGTAAAAGGTATGATAATTAAGAGCACGTGTAGTGCGAGTACAGTAGTAAAGGCTGAGACTGGGCTCAGATATGAGATACAGTGGCACTGACTGTGAGGTGTACTGACTGACTGACTGGTGTACTGACTGACTGATGAATACAGTAGTTGTACTGTATTTATAGTCATTGGATATACAGGTAATGTTTGGAGGGAAAGGTAGTCATTGGACTGTTTGAATATGAAACGGTTGTATAGTCGATGTGTTGGACAGTGAGGTGCCAGTGATTGGTGTCACTGACCAGGAATTACAGGTAAAAGGATATTTAACGGTCGAAATTAATATGAAGTGTAAATATAAGAATTAATACAATGTATAGAAATAGTTATAATAGGAAATAAATACAAAATATTAATCTTAAATTATCGGTAATTGAAGGACATATGGATGTCTTCAACAATATAAAGTTATTACAATATACGGTATAAAAGTACACTAAAAATAAAATTTACCATATATTAAAAAAATCTATAGTAAATCAAAAATATTTATTATTGATCTTAAATAATTAATTATTTAGTATTTATTTTTAACTATAATTATAACAAATTGATGAATTTGAACATTTAATTAATTAGACAAAATTAATTTAATATACACTATAATATGATAACTTATTTTAATTGTAGTATAAAATTGCAAATACATTAAAATTTAAAATAATAACAATTTTACAATACTGTTAGTTGAAATTATAATACTATAAAATTTATTTATATTATATAAATATCAATTAACATATAATTCAATAAATTTGAATACATTGAATGCTATAGTAATGGCAATTGGGATGTGTGTGACAATGAATCCAAAGGCCCGATATCTAGGATAACCCAACCAAAAGGTGATGCGACCCAATAGGAACAGTAGTGACAACAATGGTATTACATTTAATATATATTTGGGCTCCAAATGTACAATCAAAATAAGTTGTGATATCATTGATAATATCAAGTGCTCTATAGTGTTGTTCACATTATTTCGTGCCATTTGTGTGATACTCTCGTAACCATTCATTGGGTTAATAGCCGGTGAGTTGACCCGCTTATGCATTACAAACCAAGTGCTTAGCAATAGCCAGAAAACACCGGGATTTAAGTGGATCAACACATACTTAACTCTAGTCGTCAAATCTATTAAATCATTTTCTTTGTATTTGCTATACTTTGCAAAGTTTATGTGATTATTGACCAATAAGTATGCAAATACTATGAGTCCTATTATACCGCATATTATCAATGGTATGCCATATCTCAAGTAGTCATATATTAACTTTAACTCTTCTTTAGAGTATTTCATTTTATCTGTAAATTATTTCAAACAATTTAATATATAATTATTTAATTAAAATAAATAGAATATACTGTATATATATATTGTGTTATAACCAGGGTTGGAAAAATACAAGATTTTGAATTTTGGCTTGTATAATACAATGTACTTCTTCTATAATACAATTTTAAAACTAATATATATCATATATATACAGGTACATACTATGTTGAAAAATTTATTTTAAAAATTTAGTAATAATATAATTGCTAGAAAATGTATTATTGCTATAATAATCGTTGTTTTAATTGTTGTATATAACTATAATAATTTAAAATAAGATAGAAATTCAATAAAAATTAATATTAAATCTATATTTATTATAAAACATGGCTTACATTTCTTATATAAATGCTTTTTATTACAGTACTGTATAATACACTTTATACAAACATTTTGTCTCTGCCAACACTGGTTATTACTAATTATACATTTTAAAAACATTAATTTTTATAATATTACTGTATATATAATAAATATATAATAGTAAATAAAATATACAGTGCATTTAGTCACTAAATTTTAGTGTATTTACTGTACTATTACTGTACAAGTTTATAACTTATATGATTAAATTAAATAATTAATAAAATATAATAATCATACCTTTATACTGATGTTGATTATGTTTATGTTTGTCATTTAAAGTCATGTTTTGATAAATAATAATTAAATAATGAATTATTATAGATTATCTAATTGACTGAAACCACTATTTTGTTAAACATTGATTATTTTTGCCAACGTATCTGAAAAATCTTATTATTGTATTACTGGTTATGTTTGTTTGAATTCAAGTTTTAGTAGTATTAGTAAACAACTATTAAAACCAGTATACAGTAGTTATGAAGTTTTAAAGATTGATTAAGTAGTATAACTAATCATTAGATATATGTATACATTTGAGTATACATTTTAGTAAATTTTCGATATCTATATATATATAACTACCGAAAGCGTCATTCACGCGGCACTATTGGTATTATATACGAAGTTAACCGAAGGGCAGATCTGTATATGACTACAATCGCTAACATTTGATACAATTTGTCATCTTTTCAATGGTTTTATTGAAAATCTCAGCAAAACATTAAAAAGTTTTTTACCACATAATGTGACAAAATAAATGATATGTTGAATATTAAAAAATAATTTTTATATATTTATATTTTATAGAATTTTTATACAAATAAAAATATTTCTATAGCATAAATCCAAGAGTCTTATTCTAAATATTTTATTTTTTAAAGTATTTTCTTAAAATTGTATATAAAATTTAAATTAATATTTATAAAATAGATATTCCAGACTCACATAATTAGATTTTTTTTTTTAAATTACAATACATTTTAAATTTGCATTTTTGTTAAATAAGTGTTAAATTAGTTTTACATTAAAGAAAAAACATTATTAAATCATAGTTAATTAAAAATTATATATAAGTTAGATTTCATTAATATAATTTAGATCTCGTTATAATTATAATTAATTGGCATATAATTACTTAATTATAAAATACCGTTAAAATGCAGTTAATAATTAATTAAATGAATTGTGTAACTTTGAACTCCAATTACAGGTTATTATTTTATTGTAGCCATACTTTCATAGTATAAATATATTATGACAGCAATTCATAAACAATTAACAATTTAAATAATAATGTCTTAATTATAAAAACATATACAGAAATTATCTATTTTACAAATTTGACTCACAATTAGCGGATATTATTATATATTTCAAAAAAGTGTGTTTTAACAAATATTACATTTTAGATGTCATTGTTTCCTCATTATAGACATAGATATCATTTACCATATAATTAAATTTTACATATCTAAGTTCAAATCTAAGAAATTGTACAAAATTTTGGTTAAATAAACATTATATAACACAATAATAAATGATAATTTAGGATAAATTGTATTTACTGTATATTATATACTGTTTACTACTTTATTGGTCCACATTATTTTATTATAATTATTATAAACATTAGGGTTTATGTACAAAATATGTTTGTCTTGAATCACATGTATATTATATTTTAACATTAACACAATTTATAGAAAAAATTAGTATTATAAATAATGTATAATACATTATGTAACTCAAAATTTCAATTATTATAAAAAAAATAATTGTACTATTTTTTGTATATATATTATATATAAGGATTTCTGGTTTTTTTTTGTTTAAACAGTTTTTAAAAAATTATTTCATTAAATATTTGTTATTATTGTTAATATTCAACAATAGTTGTCTTAATTCAAATGTTAGTAAAAATATATGTGCGTCTCTCTCTCTCTCTCTTAAAAGTTATTCAATGATTTTAGATATTTAAATATATTTTTAAAATCTCAAACAATAATAATTATAATAATGGCACCCAAATAAACATTAACATAATTATAAAGGTTATAAAATTGTTGATAATTAAAGTAGTGTTTTATTATATTATATGTAAAATTATATAATGTGTCGTATGTTTTATCATAATTACATTAATTATTATATAATATAGTAATTAAATATAATAAATTTTGCTATGATATCTATAAATTAATATAATAATCAACATGCAATTTACAATTTGAATATAATCATCATTTTATACAATATTATTTTATAGTCTATAATTTTCGGTGTTTATTTATTTTAACTTAAAATAATAATTTTTTAAAACCATATATTTTAAAGAAAAAGTTTATACATAAAAGAAACAAAATTACATTTTTTCAATTATTTTTACTTTTTTTACGCAATACATTATCTGAAAATTCACGATATGTCACGTTAAAGTAAATATAATATAAATGTATAAATAAATTTTACATTTAGTAAAAACGTATATTAATAACATGGTATGTGTATTGTACTGTGTCTTCACTTCATATACATTAACAACAAATATTATAATAATAGTTAAAATATTATCAAAAGCTTTAAACTAAAATTATTTTTAAAAAGAGATTTTTTTAAATATTGATATAATCCAAGAAAAGTTGCATATATAAGATATATTAAAATTAATTAATAAAAAGTTAAATACTATATAAAACAAAAACTACATATTCATCAATCATAAAACTAATTAATTTTTTAAATATGTATTTTGCAATCAACTATGTGTTCATGTCTTGGATGTGGCCTTTGGATTAGTCAGTGAAGAGTTGGGATGTGGAGCGCAACCATTGGTATCGTTATTATAATCAGAATTTGTGGCACTTTTTACTTTAGAATAAATTTTTAAAAACTCTGATTCTTGCGATTGTTTGTCCGGTGATGACGAGCCCGACGTTGAGGTGACGGTATGTTCAGCACTGGACTGTTCGTGTTGTTTGATTTTGAGTTGTTGTTCCTCCAGACGTCTCTCAAGACTTGACCGACGCGACAGCTTTTCTGCCTCCAGTTCTTTACGCTTTTGGTTGTCCTTACGTTTTGCCAACTCTTTCTGCAACTCATTCTTGCCATTCAATACATTCTTACCACTAAAACAAAGAAAATATATAACAGTTGTTATTATCTAAAAAACAGTTATATTTTTGATTAATCATTAGTAACTGATAAATAAATTGTTAATTTTCCTAAATTATCTGATCTTATCAAACAATATATTGTAATCAAATCACATTTTATAAAGAGTTCACGAAAAATAATACATCAATATTTAAATTGTTTTATTCAAAAATATTTAGATTTTTAGATTAATTAAACTGATAATAACTTGGATAATACATATAGTTTTCTTAATTTAAATATATATATATAAAGTAATTAATCTGAATTAACTGTTCAAATCATATATCATTATCTAAATACATGAAATCATTATATTAGTTTCAAATACCTATTTTGTTTCAAATTACTCATATATTTAAAACTTAGATTTAATTATTTTTTCAATGTATAACAAAATCTTTAAATTTTTAGAGAAATAATTTTTATTGAAAGCAGATTTCGAGGGTTTAGCAACAATTAAGATAAATTATACTTAAAATATAACGTTATATTGTATATAATTGAGAAAAAAGTAGTTATATACAGTATATGACAGTAAATGAGCCAAAAAATGTTGAGGCAATTAATGGTCGTTAGCTAACAATCAATCATATCATTAGACAATCATTTGCTTTAACAAAGTTTTACTTTTTGTTTCGTTTATTACTATAGTTTTTAAATATTGTTGTTTATTTTAACTTAAATATATGAGAGTTTTTAATATGAATTCTAAATAAATAAAAATTAAAAATTTAACTATCAGTTTATTATTATAAATATACAGATAAAAATAAAATATTTGATCGATTGATTCATAATTATTTTTTTCATTTGAAAACATTAAATTATATCAAAAGATGTTTTATAAAATAGTAAATCAATTAAATCAATTTTGTGATTTAAATTCAATTTATGGTTATTATGGAAATGTGTACAATATTTTCATAATTATTAAATAATTTAAACATATCTAAACATATTTTACAAATATAATATTTCTGTACAATAATAAAATCAACAATCATTAGACTTGTTGAGAGAAATGTATAAATATAGCCAAAATATAGCCTCACGTATACCTCTCTCTCTCTTATTTTTTTTATTGAAGAAAGTTTTTTTTGTTAAAACAAAAACAAAACTTTTATACATTAAGAGATGAATGACATTCAATGAAAACAACTATTAGTATAAATATATCACTAATGAGTTTTCTAATAACAGTATTATTACATTTCATTTATTTTACGACTTTTAGTTTTATATTATTACTTTTGTTAAATAATTTTTTACTAAAAAAAATCTTATAAAATTTGTAAAATGCTGTCAAATTTTATGTTTAACATATATAACATTTCAATCGTTCATTAAATCTATGCTAAAAAATATTTATAGTTAAAAAGACAATACCTATACAATGTTTTATTTATGGGTATATTTTGTGTTAATAAGACTTTTACATAAAAAATATAATATAAATAATTGTCAAATATTTAAAATATCAATCCTATAAATAACATCTAGATTTCTGATAATACTGTAGTATTATAAATTATAAAATAATTAAACTTAATTTAATTTAGATCTAAATTAGATAAGTAAACTATATTTAAATAATAAGTTATAACTAATGTGGAAAATTATATCCGCAATAAACTATAAGAAATAATAAGAAATTAAAGACTTAATTAATATTTTATCGCAAAACACTTGAATAATACATTAGTTAGGGTTGACAACAATAACATTGATAACAATATTATATAATTTATATCATATATAAAAAGGTTATGTCTAAGTTAATAGTTAAATAGGTTATACGATACTAACTATTATTATTTCTCTCATATATTATAATTTATTTTTATTTTTTAAAAATCTTTTTTCACATCCTTTGAGACTATTTTATAAATAATTTTGTAACACAAATATACATAAATGATAAACAACAAAAAGCATTGTAACTGTATATTGATTGGTGTATTAACTTTATTTTTAAGATAGTTTTTTTAATATAATAATTTAGGATAATTTGAATTTACGAAAATARCATTTTGATAACAATTTATTGTACTTAATACATATAATTTGTCAACAAAACTGTTTATATCAATACAGTTACAGTAAAAATTATAATAAAAACAAATATTTAATGTTTTTTTATTGAGAAATGCTAATATTAAAATTATTATTATTATTATAAATTGCTATTTATTTTAAATATATTCTTATGAATAGTATAATAGCTGTTATCATACAATTTTATTTGATAGATATTTTTTAATACTGTAATATTATTTCTTTGATAACAAAAATTCAAATTATTTTCTCAACAAAAACTTGATTTAAAAATATAATTTAAAACTATATTTGTATACAAATATAAAATTTTGTATCTAATTTTATACAGCAATCTAAGCATGTGTCTGAATTTAAATCACTAAATCTTTTTGCTATTACAACACAAAAATAAATTGGAAAATATAAGAAAACTTTTTTCTCATTTTTTTTGTATTTATTCGTCTCAAACAATAATAATTTCTTATATTTGGTGTTAACTTAAATATATAACAAAATACTTCATTTATATACAAAAACATTATATTTTTGAATTTATATTTTATATTTCATATTCAGAATTGATAATAAATTTATTTTTATCGAACAATATTTATTAGTATTATTGCTTTTATATTTGATTTTGCGATCTTTTAGGACACAAATATTTCTAATAAAATAAATATAATGTTACAAATAAAACATTTAGTAAAGTATTAATAATCTATTCACTAATAATTTAATACATGAGTAATAGCATATGTTAGTCAATAGACAAGAGATAACTAAAAAATAAAATACTAAATAATTTAATTCATATTCAAATATGCAAATCAATATATATTACATGCAATCAATTGAATTTATAGGTAAAATAATACGGTTTGATATTTTTTATATAGTAATCTTATAGTCTGTATAATATTTGTATTGATTTATTCAAATAAGTTTTGTCTGTCAAAACAAAATCAATAAAATGTATTGAAATGTAAAATACATACACTTTTTGATTCCAAAGCATCTCTTTGTGAATACTCATCCTTTCGTTAGACTCGAGACACGGATTAACCAGTTTTCGGGGAATAACGAGTCCTTCTTCATCCAAGTTTGGCAATACTGGTACACCATTACCATTCATCTTATGATTGGGAGAACCATTTCGCTGATGATGTCTCATCATTGGCGTCGGCAACGATGATGTGTGACTACCATTGTGTCCATTATTATTGTTATTCTTGTAGTTGTCATCGTCTCTATAGTCCGGTTCGGGAATCATTGTCTCAATTGTATTTCGGTCACAACTTTAATAATTTATAAATAGTTTATCACTTGACTATCAATACAATTTCAAACTATTTTTAACACATTGATATTTAAAAACTTTTTTTAATATAACACTTATTATAATGAAATACTTGTTATAACAATCTATTGTTGTGTAATTCAATAGAGATTTATTCAACAAAAATATGATATGAAACGAGTGGACTGATCGATGGCAAACCTACAATGAAATAAATGGTAAACTAATGAATAAATTATTTATGCCATTCATTAATATTATTATTATTACATTTATTTAATTCAATAAAAATAAAAAGATAATATATTTCAATAAAATAAAATATATACTCAATTATCACACACACAATATCAATGTCTTTTGTAAGTTGCAAATGTATGCAAAACTTTTTGTTTGTTAGTTACTTGACATACAATTTTGTTATTATTTTTGTTGTTTGTATTGTTGTTTATTAATATTTATCTTTCCCATTAATGTTATTTATAATTTTTTATAGTTTGAAAAACAATATGATTTATCATTGGCTGACTATTTGGTGTCTATGTCTTATATAACCAACAAAAACACGCTTAAATAAAAACAAAAATAACTATAATAATGAATAACCATATTTAATAACAATTGTATTAGAATTTTAAACATTCATTAATTAAAAATAAATTATTTAAAAAGGTTTGTAATATCAATGTTTCAAGTTTTTGTTTGCTTATCTTTGATAATATATTATAATTTAATTTAAATTAATGTCATCTCAAAGTATATGTTTCGCTTGAAAGAAGTATTAAAAGTAATTAATTAGATAGAGTTTGACATTAATTTTATTCTAATAAATAATGAAATAAATAATACAATATATTGATTAGATAATAGATATATATATAATTTATTAAATATAATATATAATTGAGTGTACACTATATTTTTATGATATTTGAACACTAATTTTTATTAGATGTTTCACTGAGTGGTTATCCTAAAAATGTCAAATAACTTTAATTATATACTTTAATAAAAATATTTAATATTAGGTTTATTGAAAAATGATTAGGCATTTATAGTCACTAAAAAATACAGTACTATAATACTATATATATCAGGGTTGCTAAAGGTTTTCGATTTCAGGGGGGGGGGTACAGGGGGAGGTAAAATGGCAAAATTTTCGAAAAAGCTTGGGGGGGGGGGGGGGTATAGGGGGAGGTGAACATTTTTTATTGCATTTTTAAACGACAATTTTTGCCAAATTTGAGTAAATTCCCATTAAATTCCCACTAAATTCCCATTAAATTCCCACTAAATTCCCACTAAATTCCCACTAAATTCCCACTAAATTCCCACTAAATTCCCACTAAATTCCCACTAAATTCCCAATAAATTCCCAATAAATTCCCAACAAATTCTAAATAAATTCCCATGAAATTCCCAATAAATTTCAAATAAATTCCAAATAAATTCCAAATAAATTAACTAATAAAAATATTCTTAACTTAATTTCTCAATACTCAAAATGATTTCTAAATATTAATAATTGCATAAATATATATATAACTATTATAATTATTAAATAAAAATATTATTTAGATTTAAAAAATAGTTATTAATTAAAAAATTAATGATATAGTACTGTATTTATTTATTATAACGTTTTAATAATAATAATAATAAAAATAAAATTGGCAGAAATAATTATTAATTAGTTCTAAATAATTAATTTAATTTAAGAATATATATTTTTATAGTATTTTATATTGAACCATAACTAACACAATTTAATATAAAGATTCTAAATTCCCACTAATTCCTTATAAATCCCCACTATATTCCCACTAATTTTAAAAAATTGATTTTAATTAAAAAATTAATGCTATAGTACTGTATTTATTATAACGTCTTAATAATAATATTGTCAGAAATAATTATTAAATAACTAAATAATTAATGTAAGAATATTTTTTTATATAGTATTTCATATTGAACTATAATTAACACATTTTAATATAAAGTTTAAAAACATAGGTTAAAATATTAAAATTTATGCTAAAAATTTGTTTTCATCTTTTAATATGAAATAATATATATATATATTATCATTTATAAAGAGTTAAAAAATAAAAAAAATATATTTCATTATTTTTTTTAATTGGTGGGAATTTATTTTGGAGCTTTTTCCCTTGTGGAGTGCCCCAACTCTATTTATGTAACATTTAGTTTATATCATAATTATTATTTTTAAATCACATAACTAACACATATTAATATAAAGTTTAAAAATATTAAAATAAAATTATTTTAAAATTTATTCTAAAAATTTTAGTTTTTAACTTTTAATAAGAAATAAAATATATATTATCTTTTATAAACAGCTAAAAAATAAAATAAAACATTATCATTAATTTATTTGAAAATTGGTGGGAATTTATTTTTTAGCTTGTGGAGTGCCCCAACTAGTGTAAATAATGTTAAATTGATGTAATTAAGTATTTTTATCTATTTATTTTCTATACATAAGCTATTAATTTATATTAAAACAAATTTAATATTTATTTTTTTGTTTAATATAAAATTTTACATAGTTGAAAAAAATTTTAAAATTTTACATAGGCTTCAGGCCAGGGGGGGGGTAAAAGCCAAAATTTTTCCATCTCAGGGGGGGTAAGACGTCTTACCCCCCCCCCCCCCCTTTAGCAACCCTGATATATATATAATTTGAACAAACAAATAAATAATTTTACCAATAAGTTAAGTGTTTTATTTCATCAATTACCACAAAGAAAACATTAATTACTATATTTACTTAACTATACTGAAAATTATAATTCAAGTTCATACATTTACGTATAATTATTTATGATAGTTAACTGTTTAAATATATGCTGTCTATAAAAAATCGATACAAACAAACATTATATAATATATATGAATAAAAATGTTTAAAATTAATTGTTAATTTTGTCCCATTTATACTGATAACAGTATATAATATTAATAGATTTAATATAAAATTATATATTTTATTTATTTAAAATTATTTATTATTTAAAAATAGGTTGAAATACGTATAATACAACTATAAATAGGGAGTGTCTATAATCTCTATATAAAACAATGACATTTTAAAAATAAACTTTTTTATTTTATAATTAAATAAAATTTTTAATAACTATATTTGAATATAAAAATAATATTAAAATAAAACATTTGATGATTCATTGATCTAGATTTTGATATTGTCGACAACTAGTATATAATTTATTAACCATATACAACATTAAAACATTATTTTCATGTTTTTACATTATTTTTAAAATTGTAAAATATTATAAATTAGTATAAAAATACATAAACTATTGTATCCTTAAGAGCAAAATATATAAACATAACATATAACTATAATCAGAAATTATATTTACTGTATAAAACATTTAATAGCATTTATTATAAAATAGAGAAAATTATATATAATTATTACATAACTTCAAAATAACTTATTTTTGCCTTAAATGGTAATGAATTTGCGCTGAAATTATACGATACTTATGGTATCTCTAACAACACAATGCTATTCAACAACAAAAAAGACTTATCTAATGACAAATAAAGTGCAACAAAATTACATTCATTAGAAACTTATTAATAATTAGTTATTATTATCAATTATTTAATAATTGTTGAAAATACTGTAAATACCAAATGCTTGTCTAAGTTATGTCATAATATATATGCGAAGTCACGTATTTTTATCAAGTAATTCACGTTTATAAACACTTTTTAATAATAGTAATAATAATCGTTACAAACAATTCATGACAATCCTATAACAAAATAATAGCTTATTAATAAATATTTTAATTTAAACAAATGATTTTTCCCACAAATTTGTCTTAAAATACATCTAAATTATGCCATAAAATGCATACAAATGTTCACTAAACATGTGATAACTATAAAGGGAATCACTTTTTAAAATTAATAGCCAATAAAAATAGTTTACTAAATCAATTGAATTTGAAAATTGCCAAAAGAGTTACTATTATTATTACTGTATTATTATTAAATTACAATATATATATATATATATATATACAATATATATAAAACAAATGTGCATTTCTATAACCTATTACAGGCTCATTGAAAATCAATAAGCATTTAGTTTAATAATAGAGTGAATATATGGCCCTCAATGACCATTCATTCAAACAATTTAATAATATGTTTAAAACCACAATTATTCCTCACGTTTAAACATTATATTATTTATTATTATTATTATTTTACTTATTTGGCATATAAATCTTACCACTAATTTTAAAGTGTTGTGTATTTGAGATTTATTTTTATGTTTGAATTATTCACTATAATAGATAGTTATAAAATAATTTTTTTAATATAAAAATTGAATTAAATTACTAAATGATCCAAAAAATTAATAACCATTTTATTGGCATTTTGTCGTAGTTTTATAAATTTTAACAATAAAAAACTAAATGTTATATTAAACTTTTTTTTTAATAAAAATGGATTTATAAAAAAAAATTATGTAGACTTAAGAAAATAAATAATGGATCGGAAAAGAAATCACAAGAAAAAGCAAATCAAACCAACAAAAACTTATCAGTCAGTCATCTGTAAAATTATAAGTAAACTTCGTTTCACTTAAAAATCTTTTCATTATATTTTTAATATTTTTATAAATATATACAATATATACTGTGTGTATATAACTGTCAACTCAATATACAGTATATATATAATTCAATAATATACAGTACAGTATTATACTTTGCGATCTGTAATATAAAAATTATAGAAAACATTATATACCGGTATATATAACTTTAATTTATTATTTATTTTTAAAAACCTCATATTTTAGTTTTACAAAATACCATTGAAAACCAGTATAAAAAATAAATTWAAAAAAACATTTGTACTGTATGTTTATTATTATATAAAAGTGTTGTTTGAATTGATCAAATAATATTAGAATATTTAAATTTAAAATAACGTAAAATTTTTAAAGTATTTATTTTTTCTTAAAAATCTTCTAATAATATATTAAATACTATGAAATTTAGTATAAAAATATTAAAAATCACTTCATTTACATTATAAAAATTATTATTTTATTTAAAGTTAAAAATTCAATTTAAAGATTTTATAACATGTGTTGTATATAATATGTTGTTTTACTTGTTGTAAAT